TTTTTTTGATACACTTGTTATTATTCCGCCCCTTCTGTTCCTCCAGACGGGCTCGAAACTCACTCATGTGCCGATCGGCGCCGACGAAATTTTATGCGTTGTCGCACCACAACTTATCCAGAATCTCGCGACGACTCACGAACCTTTGAAAGTCCAACAAAAAACTTCCGTGGTAAAGTCAGACACTAACTCCAAGAGGACCACTTTGGACGCAAAACATACAATCCACGGATACGATACGTTGTGCTAAAGGGCATTAAATAGCCATATTTTCCCGCGCAGACGACTTACAAGAGCATGAGAGCCAGCGTGACTAACAACGAACTCCAATCTAATTTATTTTCCTTAACAAAGGGGCTTGGGTTTTGAATATTCGTTGCTACCGGTTTATTATTCCGAATTTTACTGATATCGTCCTTGAATCATGAAATTGGATAACTTTAATGGCAAAATACTTTTTTTAAAGATCTTCGACACTTTTCCGAACTTTTGAATAAAGCGGAAAACCCATACGAAAACTCTCAAATGATTCAGGTGCGACGAAAAGTTTTCTATTTTCTGAAGCATATACCTTGAATCTGGGCTGACTACGAGAGCTAGTGCCGACTTGGGTAATTCCATCAAAACTACTTCAGTCGGCAGTTCGAAATGTCGATTTACAGGCCAATTCATTTCTGATTCGAGCCCACCGAACCAAATGGACGTTGTAAGCTCCTCAACGTCACATCCACGGGACACTATGTCTTCTGCGTTAACTTTCGTGGGAACGTGTCTCCAAGTTGCCTTCTCCGTCCACTCCTGAATTTCAGCGACCTGGTTTGACACAAAAACTGACAACGATGAAGGATGGGTTTTGATCCAATGTGAAAGGATCTCGGAGTCTGTCCATAGGAAAACATTCTCAATAGGACGATTCAGCTACGGCCGGACATGATTATAAAGTAAAGTTTTCGTCTTCAGGTGAGCTCCTTTCGATTTGGCGGTCAATAAAGACACTTTTAATCCTTTAGCAGTTTGAGTACGTAGATGCACGCTCCATTCGCTCGCATGGATTCAAGTATTTGATTCGGGACTTGCGGATCTGTGTGAACGAATTGCGATACCCTTATTTTTGGCAGCTGTTGAAGCGTTGCTTTAAATGTCGAGGAGTCACTGACAAAATAATTCGTTTTGTCGCCCAAAGATCCGGTAAAGAGTCATCCAACCGAAATTGAAAGAAATCTTTAACTAGATGCGCTGTTTTTCCCATCTCTTGAAAAGTAAGAATTTAAAAAAAGAGTTGACAACCTTTTAAAAATCGTTACTTCTAAAAAAAAAGATGCCCATGATTGCCCATATTTTGAAAAGTAAGAATTTAAAAATTTGCCACTCTTAAAAATATTTTTTTTTTTCACAAAAACTTTGGCTCACCTCTTAAAATAGGCATTTTTAAACTAAAATCGATTGCCCACCCCTTAAAAATCTTTATTTAAAAAAAAATAAAAGATGACCATGTTTGCTCATCTCTTGAAATCTAAGAATTTAAAAAAAATCGTTGGCCCACCTTTTACAAAATATCACTTAAAAATCGTTATTTCTAAAAAATAAAAAGATGCATTTTTAAAATCGTTTGCTCATATCCTGAAAGTAATTTCGATAAAACAAAAATGTATTATTCGCTCCTTCTGAATTAATTGATTAACCAGCTTAAGGGAAAATAAGCAAATATAAGCAGCACTGATTTTAAAACTGCGAACAGAAATATCTACAATAAACATTAGTTCGTCTCCTGTTTCACCTTGATCAAATCTGTATAAGCTTACAGTAGCCAACATTTTTCTTTTGATCAGTTTTCTAAAAAACCTTTGATGGTCCTTAATTTTTGTGCAGTTACCGATTTTTCAAAAAGTGTTTACTGGAAATTAAACAGAATTAAAAAGCCAAATGTTGATTTGGTCTGGAGAAATTTACAAAAGAAAACATTTAGTTCAGCGTTCAAAGCTTCGAATAATGAAATTAGTTTCCCCCTGGATTTCTATATTTTTATAATAATACTCTATAATTCAGGATGTTTTTGTAAAAAAATGTTTATAATTTTTGTTCAGTCACGATTAAAAACTGTGCCCATGTGTATATTTTATTTTAAGTAATATATTTACAGTTTACAGTTTTTGAATTGACACTGCAAAAAACGTATAAAAACTTGTTTATAAATGCCAGAGTATTTATTTCAGTGTAATAAAATTAGAAATATACCGTATTTTCGCGTAAAAAAAAGACATGAGAAAAAGTTTATTTTTTTTCTCTTCTGCCTTAATTTAAACAAGAAAGGAAAGCTGACTTCGGGCGGAGCCGAAGTTGATATACCCTTGCAAAAAATTCTTTAAATTATATTCTCCAAAATTATTCATAAGATGCATTATCAATACTCATAAAAAATCCCAACTTCCTAACTTTACAAACACCAAAGTTATGGCATTTCCGATCGTTCAGTTATATGGCAGCTATAGGATATAGTCGGCCGATCCTTATGAAACTTGCTAGGTCGGATTGAATGGCCAAAAATAAAACCCATAGAGAATCCCAAAATCGACAAAGCTTCATTGTTTTTATTAATATACAGGCATAGAAATCGAAATGTATTCTAGTTGGTTTATTATTTTTCAATAAAAGGAAAGCCTTATAGTTGCTCTAAAAATTACTTGTAATGTATGTTTATAACACATTAAAAAAAAAGAAAAAAATGTATGGCCTGACGGCAGTTGGAATTCAACTTCCTGTGCTTAGATTTCAGCTCGTTTTAGGGCTATCTAATTTGTAGGGTTAACTTAATAAAATTTTTCTATTTTCTAGGGTAAATTATTTTTTAAGGCAAAACTCCTCAATTGTTTCCAATAAGCCTACATGTCTTAATGAAGAATAGTCACAAGTAAAAAGGTTAAGTCCAGGCTTTACAATAAATTCAAAGCGTCCGTATTAGAATCTGCTTAAGAAGCTTCAAAAATCGATTTTTTCGAGGAATTTTTTGGGAAGGAAAGATATATTCGATTGAAACGAAACATTCAGGTTTTATTGTTATATATTGTGTATATATGTTCAAGATGCAGGTCGCAATTTTCATCGGAACAAAAAAAAAACCAAAAATGTTTTTTCTATTTTCAATAGAAAATTGATCAAAAAGTGAAAAAATTCAAAAATTTTTTGAAAATTAAAAAAATGTATTTTTTGCTTAAATCACTTCAGATTTTTAAAAAATCTTTTTTACTAAAAGAGAATTCAATTTAATAATAATTTAATCCAAAAAATGTTGTCTCGTTTCGATGGGACGTTTAATTTGTACCCTATCTTTCCAGCCAGTTAGGAGAAATCATAAAAATGAAAAACCGAGAAATCGCACTTCAAAGTTTTCGTATAAAAAGAATCGTAACGCATGCTCACTATTTCTTCTGTAACTTAAAAAATATTTTGAATTTGCTTCTGAAATTTTAGGGACACATTCTAGGATAGTTTGTGTAGTCATTTATGCAAAAAAATCGATATTTTGAAGCGTTTAAAACAGGCTCTCCCCTTCAGGACTCGGTTTAATTTTACATTGCTTTACCCCTGGTTTTATTAAAGCTATTTGACTCGTTGAAGGGTTTTTGTTTTCTCAAGAACTAAAAAACAGCTTTGGTAACACTAAGCGTAGATCCACCGCTGCTTCAACATCGCTATCATTTAAAAATTGTACGTAAAACACTGATCAGGCAATTCCCAATCTATATTCATACAACATATTCAGTATCGTTCCGTCCAAATTGGTTACATTTACATCAGCGTGACCGCGCCGGACCAAACGTGAAATACCAATTTGGTCTGAAAAATATACTAAAAAATACTATAAAATAATATGTCATATTTTACAAAATACCACTATAAATACCATAACAAATAAATCGCCTGGAAATTCAAATTATAATATGTACTATCACTAACCATACAACATGTTGTATGGTTAGTGATACTATGTAAAAATAATAATTGACTTATTATATATAGAAAAAATAAGGCTTTTCCCATTGCAAAAAATGTTTGTTTTTTATTTCATATTACAAGATTAATAATATTTCAGTCCAACATAAAGCCTAGTATCCAGATCAACGAAAACCGTACGCCAGTCATGAGAGAGAGCGAGAGGCAAACAGCAGCTGGCGTTCACTTTTCGTCGGGCCTTTTTTTCACGTCGGTCCCCTGATCGACGAAAAAATACCAGAAAATTCCATAGCGTTGCCAGTCTGCGGAAATTACCTTTGGGTGAACCCTAGCGAAAAGATTAAAAATTTAATCTTTTGGCGTGCGCTTCTCACTGAACATTATAAGAAATGGAGGGAAAAACTCAAAAAACTCACAAAAGTCGATTGTAGGTGTTTACATGTGAGGACAAAATAACATTAATACTATCTGGGCTGCCTCTTGTCAGAGCAAAATGTTTTTTAGGTCAAGAAAAAAGGCCCGACGAAAAGTGAACGCCAGCCGTTTGCCTCTCGCTCTCTCTCATGACTGGCGTACGGTTTTCGTCGATCTGGATACTAGGCTTGAACATTATAAGAAATGGAGGGAAAAACTCAAAAAATTCACAAAAGTCGATTGCAGGTGTTTACATGTGAGGACAAAATAACATTAATACTATCTGGGGGGCCTCTTGTCAGAGCAAAATGTTTTTTAGGTCCAGAATGTACGAAAAAACACAATAAAAGTGCAGCTATAAACTTTAAATTAGCAAATAATTATCAGTAAATTAAAAAAAACAACTGTTAAATTTAAATTGTATTGTTTTTTAATTTCTTTGTACACCGGCAGACTTGTCTTGCCAAGGTATTTGATAATATCTTTTAAAGGCTCTTTCCCGCAAATACGATATTTGAATTTTTACTGCTTGTCTACAAGCCTTAGCTGATTGACAGTACGACCGTAGCACTCATAATTCTGATGAACTCTCGAAATTTTGGTCACACTGGAAAGATTAAAGTTTTTACGCTAGAGTACTCGTTTGTCAATCTGAGTACTAGGCTTTAATATCTAATTAGTGTGTATTTTTCACGAACAACAGCTCATTTTGTTCTTGGGGTCGAAATCCCCAAAGGCCTAGCTCGCAACAACAAATAATCGATAGCTATCGACCTTCACACCATGTACCAATAGTTCCTAACACTAGAATCGATAGAAATCAACGTCTCACATACTAATTTTACATGGACCATCTCTACAGGCATCAAAAGGTAAACAAACAACAAACAGGTAAATATTGGACGAGATTAACGAAAAGTTACGTATGGATGGACTAGCCACCGCGCACTCAAACATCCTATGGCACCACCCATTGTCAAAAACCTAGGCCACGGCAAGTCCGGATAACGACCGGTTTATCTCCCCTAGGGTAAGTCCCTTAGGCAAATATTATCCGCAAATTATCCGTAGATTTATTATGATAGCAATAGATTTTTAGCAACATTAAACATTTTTCCCCTTTTAAACAATTCCTTTGCACACCAGGCAAAACTGCTACCCGGGCTTGGACCTCGGCCCCTTCAAGCCCGATTTAAAATCAGGAAATATGGCCTTAGAGAAGTGTAAACTTTGCGCTTGAAGCGGCTTAATGGACACATAATATTTCCCCTAAATACCCTGCTGGAGCTCTAAGAGGACAATAAGGGACGAGTATGTACAAATAAAAAAATAATTTCAATTCTTCTAAGCTAGACTTCTATTTGTATGCCACGCAGAGATTTTAACAAGATATCCCCTTGGCTGCTGGTCGAAAAATTCAACAGAAATTTGGGCCGAAAATAACTTGGTCCCGTTTCTAAGTCGATGTGAAAATGGCGAAAGGTGGACCGGAGGACCAAGCCTTGCCTGAGCAACTGCGGACCGCGAAAATAGGGATGCCGCGTGTTGAAGAGCCCTGTGGTGATTAGGACAAACATAGGGAAGTTTAATGGTCTTGGTAGCAGCTAGTGGATGCTACGGCTCGTGGCAGGAATCACAAAAGAATTAATAAGAAACTGTTAAGTGGCATTGATTTGTTAAAGAATTTCCGTACACGACACTCGTAGAGTAAAGGGTACATAGTATTAGCTGAAAAGTATAAGAACTGGTAGAAAAAACATTTCTGACCCGTTGGTAAACATATATATTCTTTATCAGGATCAAAAGCCGAGTTGATCTAGCGCTCCTTCTTATTTTATTTGTGTTATTTTCATTTTAACTTTTAAACAGTAACAGATATTTTCGGTGCATGGTTAAAACTTTGTTTAGATTCAAACCAAAGAATTCGTCGATACCATAAAATGCGTTCACTCAAACAAATTTGTATCAAAAATCGCTTTAAATACCCACAGAGTTCGCACGTACATATATGTAGAAAATGTAGGGTGAATTTTCTTTAATTCCTGTTGTTTTGAATATAAAATAAGTTAGTTTAAGTTTGGTAAACAATTTTATATATTAGTTAGTTTAAATGAACAATTATTTTCCAAAAAATCACCATCTGTTTATGATTAGCAACAAAAAATTATTAAACTGGCTCCCTTATCAAGGGAGTAATCTACAGCAACTTAAAAAAAAAAGTGGTTAAATTATTTACCAAACTAAATACAGGAAAAAAACTGATTACTGCAGACTTCAGTTTCTACTCTGACAATTAAGCACCTGTTCCTTGATTGAAAGATGTTTAAAAGCACATTCAGATAGAAAAGTTCCTTTCCTAAGCAAAATAATTATTGATAAAAGTCCTATTTTTGCAAAGCGACACCTAGACCGCCAAAATTTAAATAATTTCCAGTGGTCTGATTAAACTTTAATATTCGGGGCAGATTTCAGTTTCTACTCTGACAATTAAGCACCTGTTCCTTGATTGAAAGATGTTTAAAAGCACATTCAGATAGAAAAGTTCCTTTCCTAAGCAAAATAATTATTGATAAAAGTCCTATTTTTGCAAAGCGACACCTAGACCGCCAAAATTTAAATAATTTCCAGTGGTCTGATTAAACTTTAATATTCGGGGCAGATGGAAAAACATATGTATGGCGCCCAAAAACTACTGCTTTCGATCCGAAGCATACCATTTAGACTGTTAAGCATGGTGGCGGGAATATCAGCGCCTTTCTATTATTTTTTCCATATATTGATACATAAATATATATATATATATATAAATATATATGTATACCAGTTGGTATTGGACCAGTTGACATGGTCCAAAATACATATCCTCCTTAAAAACCGCAAAAGTGCCAACTGAAAACTAAAAATGATTAAATATTAAAAAATACAAAATAAAAATGTATATATACAAATATATATATGTGTATTTATATTATGTATATATATAATATTTATATAAACTCGATAAAGAGCACTACATTTTAAAAATATCCGTATGAAAGAACAAACTAAACCAAAACGAAAAATGGCAATCCCATTTCATGTTAATAAATCAAATATTTTATCAAAGACACGAAAGAAATTTTTCAGCGTCCATGATGAAAATATACATATTGAAATCACCAAAATCGCGAAATGATAAACCTCTGTAAAAACTCTGCTAATATAAGACAATAAAACATATAATAATAGTCTCACATATTATTTTGTTAGTGTTGCCAGCTTAAAATCACAAATAATAAAGTCAATAGGGGTTGAATATGACATTTTATTCAATAGTTAGTTACTCAAAATCGGTTTTTAAATTAGTTTTGAAAAAACTCAAAGTAATAAAATTTACTGCGTAACTGAGTAATAAAATTAATGGGCGTTGAAGCTTAAACGCATCCCTCATTAAAACACTTTTAATAATAATAAATATAAATTAAGTTGCCGGTGCTTTTGATAGCGAGGAAACATGAATGCCTTCTCCCACAGTGTCCCACTGCTGTGGTATTGGAGGAGCTGCGTTTTCCTGAGTGCAATGTGCTCCCAACTCCCTAATAAATTGACGGTAACGATGTATAAGCGCATCATGATAGTGGTTATTTTTAATAATCCGTTCAGGGTTCGTAAAATGATTGCAACCAGTTGCGCCTTGTATAATTGATCAAGTGGAAAAGTTCTGCAACTTAAGAGATCCAGGTTATACCAAGGACTGTGCTTACCGACTAGCGACCATGCCGACAAAGTCGTCTCCAAAATTTCAGTAAGGAACGGCTAAATATTCCCAAGTATGTTGGAAAGATGTAGAATCGGTGTACAAAAAACTATTCTTAAAAAATAAATGTACAAAACAAAAAAATATATATATTATATATATGTATATATATATTAAACAGTTCAAAAATTCAGAAGTTTTTTAATTTTTCGCTTAATATCAGCAGCATCTTCCGGAGACGTTAGCTGATTAATAATCTAATTTCTGTGAGGTTCATGGATTCCTCAATGTAAAACCCATCCTGTCGTACTTCATCGCCTCCGAAAAACAAAAAGAGTGTTGTTCTGTTAAAAATAATATAACGCTACCAAACTCTTGGAAACAACCTTCAGCCTGCCTAAGTCCGCAAGAATTGCATATACATACGTTGAAAGATCCCACCTACATGTTTTTTTCAGCTCATCCTGTCGTGCTTGTTGTTCTGTTATAAGTAATATAACGGTGCCAAACAATTGAGAACAACCATCAGCCTCCAAAAAGCCTGCCTAAGCGTGAATAAGTCCGGCCAGATTTATGGCACTTTGTTTAAAATATTGCATATACTCTTAATAGCTTGAGATCGGTAAAATAAATCTTAATAATTTTTGGTTAATTATTTCTAATTATATTTTCTTTTTTCACCCTTTGCAGAGGGTATTATAATTTCAGTCAAAAGTTTGCAACGCAGTGAAGGAGACATTTCCGACCCTATAAAGTATATATATTCTTGATCAGCATCACCAGGGGAGTCGATCTAGCCATGTCCGTCTGTCCGTCCGTCCGTTTGTACGCAAACTAGTCCCTCAGTTTTAAAGCTATCTGCTTGAAACTTCCAAAAGTTGTCTTTATATTGCAGGGCGATTATATCATATAAGCCTAGTATTCAGATCGACGAAAACCGTACGCCAGTCATGAGACAGAGCGAAAAGCAAAAAGCTGGCGTTCACTTTTCGTCGGGCCTTTTTTCACGTCGGTCCACAGATCTGTCTGCGGAAATGAACTTTGGGTGAACCCTAGCGAAAAAATTAAAAAATTTAATCTTTTGGCGTGCGCTTCTCACTGAACATTATAAGAAATGGAGGGAAAAACTCAAAAACTCACAAAAGTCGATTGCAGGTGTTTACATGTGAGGACAAAATAACATTAATACTTCTGGGGTGCCTCTTGTCAGAGCAAAATGTTTTTTAGGTCCAGAATGTACGAAAAAACACAATAAAAGTGCAGCTATAAACTTTAAATTAGCAAATAATTATCAGTAAATTAAAAAAAACAACTGTTAAATTTAAATTGTATTGTTTTTTAATTTCTTTGTACACCGGCAGACTTGTCTTGCCAAGGTATTTGATAATATCTTTTAAAGGCTCTTTCCCGCAAATACGATATTTGAATTTTTACTGCTTGTCTACAAGCCTTAGCTGATTGACAGTACGACCGTAGCACTCATAATTCTGATGAACTCTCGAAATTTTGGTCACACTGGAAAGATTAAAGTTTTTACGCTAGAGTACTCGTTTGTCAATCTGAGTACTAGGCTTTAATATCTAATTAGTGTGTATTTTTCACGAACAACAGCTCATTTTGTTCTTGGGGTCGAAATCCCCAAAGGCCTAGCTCGCAACAACAAATAATCGATAGCTATCGACCTTCACACCATGTACCAATAGTTCCTAACACTAGAATCGATAGAAATCAACGTCTCACATACTAATTTTACATGGACCATCTCTACAGGCATCAAAAGGTAAACAAACAACAAACAGGTAAATATTGGACGAGATTAACGAAAAGTTACGTATGGATGGACTAGCCACCGCGCACTCAAACATCCTATGGCACCACCCATTGTCAAAAACCTAGGCCACGGCAAGTCCGGATAACGACCGGTTTATCTCCCCTAGGGTAAGTCCCTTAGGCAAATATTATCCGCAAATTATCCGTAGATTTATTATGATAGCAATAGATTTTTAGCAACATTAAACATTTTTCCCCTTTTAAACAATTCCTTTGCACACCAGGCAAAACTGCTACCCGGGCTTGGACCTCGGCCCCTTCAAGCCCGATTTAAAATCAGGAAATATGGCCTTAGAGAAGTGTAAACTTTGCGCTTGAAGCGGCTTAATGGACACATAATATTTCTCCTAAATACCCTGCTGGAGCTCTAAGAGGACAATAAGGGACGAGTATGTACAAATAAAAAAATAATTTCAATTCTTCTAAGCTAGACTTCTATTTGTATGCCACGCAGAGATTTTAACAAGATATCCCCTTGGCTGCTGGTCGAAAAATTCAACAGAAATTTGGGCCGAAAATAACTTGGTCCCGTTTCTAAGTCGATGTGAAAATGGCGAAAGGTGGACCGGAGGACCAAGCCTTGCCTGAGCAACTGCGGACCGCGAAAATAGGGATGCCGCGTGTTGAAGAGCCCTGTGGTGATTAGGACAAACATAGGGAAGTTTAATGGTCTTGGTAGCAGCTAGTGGATGCTACGGCTCGTGGCAGGAATCACAAAAGAATTAATAAGAAACTGTTAAGTGGCATTGATTTGTTAAAGAATTTCCGTACACGACACTCGTAGAGTAAAGGGTACATAGTATTAGCTGAAAAGTATAAGAACTGGTAGAAAAAACATTTCTGACCCGTTGGTAAACATATATATTCTTTATCAGGATCAAAAGCCGAGTTGATCTAGCGCTCCTTCTTATTTTATTTGTGTTATTTTCATTTTAACTTTTAAACAGTAACAGATATTTTCGGTGCATGGTTAAAACTTTGTTTAGATTCAAACCAAAGAATTCGTCGATACCATAAAATGCGTTCACTCAAACAAATTTGTATCAAAAATCGCTTTAAATACCCACAGAGTTCGCACGTACATATATGTAGAAAATGTAGGGTGAATTTTCTTTAATTCCTGTTGTTTTGAATATAAAATAAGTTAGTTTAAGTTTGGTAAAAAATTGTATATATTAGTTAGTTTAAATGAACAATTATTTTCCAAAAAATCACCATCTGTTTATGATTAGCAACAAAAAATTATTAAACTGGCTCCCTTATCAAGGGAGTAATCTACAGCAACTTAAAAAAAAAAGTGGTTAAATTATTTACCAAACTAAATACAGGAAAAAAACTGATTACTGCAGACTTCAGTTTCTACTCTGACAATTAAGCACCTGTTCCTTGATTGAAAGATGTTTAAAAGCACATTCAGATAGAAAAGTTCCTTTCCTAAGCAAAATAATTATTGATAAAAGTCCTATTTTTGCAAAGCGACACCTAGACCGCCAAAATTTAAATAATTTCCAGTGGTCTGATTAAACTTTAATATTCGGGGCAGATTTCAGTTTCTACTCTGACAATTAAGCACCTGTTCCTTGATTGAAAGATGTTTAAAAGCACATTCAGATAGAAAAGTTCCTTTCCTAAGCAAAATAATTATTGATAAAAGTCCTATTTTTGCAAAGCGACACCTAGACCGCCAAAATTTAAATAATTTCCAGTGGTCTGATTAAACTTTAATATTCGGGGCAGATGGAAAAACATATGTATGGCGCCCAAAAAATACTGCTTTCGATCCGAAGCATACCATTTAGACTGTTAAGCATGGTGGCGGGAATATCAGCGCCTTTCTATTATTTTTTCCATATATTTATACATAAATATATATATATATATATAAATATATATGTATACCAGTTGGTATTGGACCAGTTGACATGGTCCAAAATACATATCCTCCTTAAAAACCGCAAAAGTGCCAACTGAAAACTAAAAATGATTAAATATTAAAAAATACAAAATAAAAATGTATATATACAAATATATATATGTGTATTTATATTATGTATATATATAATATTTATATAAACTCGATAAAGAGCACTACATTTTAAAAATATCCGTATGAAAGAACAAACTAAACCAAAACGAAAAATGGCAATCCCATTTCATGTTAATAAATCAAATATTTTATCAAAGACACGAAAGAAATTTTTCAGCGTCCATGATGAAAATATACATATTGAAATCACCAAAATCGCGAAATGATAAACCTCTGTAAAAACTCTGCTAATATAAGACAATAAAACATATAATAATAGTCTCACATATTATTTTGTTAGTGTTGCCAGCTTAAAATCACAAATAATAAAGTCAATAGGGGTTGAATATGACATTTTATTCAATAGTTAGTTACTCAAAATCGGTTTTTAAATTAGTTTTGAAAAAACTCAAAGTAATAAAATTTACTGCGTAACTGAGTAATAAAATTAATGGGCGTTGAAGCTTAAACGCATCCCTCATTAAAACACTTTTAATAATAATAAATATAAATTAAGTTGCCGGTGCTTTTGATAGCGAGGAAACATGAATGCCTTCTCCCACAGTGTCCCACTGCTGTGGTATTGGAGGAGCTGCGTTTTCCTGAGTGCAATGTGCTCCCAACTCCCTAATAAATTGACGGTAACGATGTATAAGCGCATCATGATAGTGGTTATTTTTAATAATCCGTTCAGGGTTCGTAAAATGATTGCAACCAGTTGCGCCTTGTATAATTGATCAAGTGGAAAAGTTCTGCAACTTAAGAGATCCAGGTTATACCAAGGACTGTGCTTACCGACTAGCGACCATGCCGACAAAGTCGTCTCCAAAATTTCAGTAAGGAACGGCTAAATATTCCCAAGTATGTTGGAAAGATGTAGAATCGGTGTACAAAAAACTATTCTTAAAAAATAAATGTACAAAACAAAAAAATATATATATTATATATATGTATATATATATTAAACAGTTCAAAAATTCAGAAGTTTTTTAATTTTTCGCTTAATATCAGCAGCATCTTCCGGAGACGTTAGCTGATTAATAATCTAATTTCTGTGAGGTTCATGGATTCCTCAATGTAAAACCCATCCTGTCGTACTTCATCGCCTCCGAAAAACAAAAAGAGTGTTGTTCTGTTAAAAATAATATAACGCTACCAAACTCTTGGAAACAACCTTCAGCCTGCCTAAGTCCGCAAGAATTGCATATACATACGTTGAAAGATCCCACCTACATGTTTTTTTCAGCTCATCCTGTCGTGCTTGTTGTTCTGTTATAAGGAATATAACGGTGCCAAACAATTGAGAACAACCATCAGCCTCCAAAAAGCCTGCCTAAGCGTGAATAAGTCCGGCCAGATTTATGGCACTTTGTTTAAAATATTGCATATACTCTTAATAGCTTGAGATCGGTAAAATAAATCTTAATAATTTTTGGTTAATTATTTCTAATTATATTTTCTTTTTTCACCCTTTGCAGAGGGTATTATAATTTCAGTCAAAAGTTTGCAACGCAGTGAAGGAGACATTTCCGACCCTATAAAGTATATATATTCTTGATCAGCATCACCAGGGGAGTCGATCTAGCCATGTCCGTCTGTCCGTCCGTCCGTTTGTACGCAAACTAGTCCCTCAGTTTTAAAGCTATCTGCTTGAAACTTCCAAAAGTTGTCTTTATATTGCAGGGCGATTATATCATATAAGCCTAGTATTCAGATCGACGAAAACCGTACGCCAGTCATGAGACAGAGCGAAAAGCAAAAAGCTGGCGTTCACTTTTCGTCGGGCCTTTTTTTCACGTCGGTCCACAGATCTGTCTGCGGAAATGAACTTTGGGTGAACCCTAGCGAAAAAATTAAAAAATTTAATCTTTTGGCGTGCGCTTCTCACTGAACATTATAAGAAATGGAGGGAAAAACTCAAAAACTCACAAAAGTCGATTGCAGGTGTTTACATGTGAGGACAAAATAACATTAATACTTCTGGGGTGCCTCTTGTCAGAGCAAAATGTTTTTTAGGTCCAGAATGTACGAAAAAACACAATAAAAGTGCAGCTATAAACTTTAAATTAGCAAATAATTATCAGTAAATTAAAAAAAACAACTGTTAAATTTAAATTGTATTGTTTTTTAATTTCTTTGTACACCGGCAGACTTGTCTTGCCAAGGTATTTGATAATATCTTTTAAAGGCTCTTTCCCGCAAATACGATATTTGAATTTTTACTGCTTGTCTACAAGCCTTAGCTGATTGACAGTACGACCGTAGCACTCATAATTCTGATGAACTCTCGAAATTTTGGTCACACTGGAAAGATTAAAGTTTTTACGCTAGAGTACTCGTTTGTCAATCTGAGTACTAGGCTTTAATATCTAATTAGTGTGTATTTTTCACGAACAACAGCTCATTTTGTTCTTGGGGTCGAAATCCCCAAAGGCCTAGCTCGCAACAACAAATAATCGATAGCTATCGACCTTCACACCATGTACCAATAGTTCCTAACACTAGAATCGATAGAAATCAACGTCTCACATACTAATTTTACATGGACCATCTCTACAGGCATCAAAAGGTAAACAAACAACAAACAGGTAAATATTGGACGAGATTAACGAAAAGTTACGTATGGATGGACTAGCCACCGCGCACTCAAACATCCTATGGCACCACCCATTGTCAAAAACCTAGGCCACGGCAAGTCCGGATAACGACCGGTTTATCTCCCCTAGGGTAAGTCCCTTAGGCAAATATTATTCGCAAATTATCCGTAGATTTATTATGATAGCAATAGATTTTTAGCAACATTAAACATTTTTCCCCTTTTAAACAATTCCTTTGCACACCAGGCAAAACTGCTACCCGGGCTTGGACCTCGGCCCCTTCAAGCCCGATTTAAAATCAGGAAATATGGCCTTAGAGAAGTGTAAACTTTGCGCTTGAAGCGGCTTAATGGACACATAATATTTCTCCTAAATACCCTGCTGGAGCTCTAAGAGGACAATAAGGGACGAGTATGTACAAATAAAAAAATAATTTCAATTCTTCTAAGCTAGACTTCTATTTGTATGCCACACAGAGATTTTAACAAGATATCCCCTTGGCTGCTGGTCGAAAAATTCAACAGAAATTTGGGCCGAAAATAACTTGGTCCCGTTTCTAAGTCGATGTGAAAATGGCGAAAGGTGGACCGGAGGACCAAGCCTTGCCTGAGCAACTGCGGACCGCGAAAATAGGGATGCCGCGTGTTGAAGAGCCCTGTGGTGATTAGGACAAACATAGGGAAGTTTAATGGTCTTGGTAGCAGCTAGTGGATGCTACGGCTCGTGGCAGGAATCACAAAAGAATTAATAAGAAACTGTTAAGTGGCATTGATTTGTTAAAGAATTTCCGTACACGACACTCGTAGAGTAAAGGGTACATAGTATTAGCTGAAAAGTATAAGAACTGGTAGAAAAAACATTTCTGACCCGTTGGTAAACATATATATTCTTTATCAGGATCAAAAGCCGAGTTGATCTAGCGCTCCTTCTTATTTTATTTGTGTTATTTTCATTTTAACTTTTAAACAGTAACAGATATTTTCGGTGCATGGTTAAAACTTTGTTTAGATTCAAACCAAAGAATTCGTCGATACCATAAAATGCGTTCACTCAAACAAATTTGTATCAAAAATCGCTTTAAATACCCACAGAGTTCGCACGTACATATATGTAGAAAATGTAGGGTGAATTTTCTTTAATTCCTGTTGTTTTGAATATAAAATAAGTTAGTTTAAGTTTGGTAAAAAATTTTATATATTAGTTAGTTTAAATGAACAATTATTTTCCAAAAAATCACCATCTGTTTATGATTAGCAACAAAAAATTATTAAACTGGCTCCCTTATCAAGGGAGTAATCTACAGCAACTTAAAAAAAAAGTGGTTAAATTATTTACCAAACTAAATACAGGAAAAAAACTGATTACTGCAGACTTCAGTTTCTACTCTGACAATTAAGCACCTGTTCCTTGATTGAAAGATGTTTAAAAGCACATTCAGATAGAAAAGTTCCTTTCCTAAGCAAAATAATTATTGATAAAAGTCCTATTTTTGCAAAGCGACACCTAGACCGCCAAAATTTAAATAATTTCCAGTGGTCTGATTAAACTTTAATATTCGGGGCAGATTTCAGTTTCTACTCTGACAATTAAGCACCTGTTCCTTGATTGAAAGATGTTTAAAAGCACATTCAGATAGAAAAGTTCCTTTCCTAAGCAAAATAATTATTGATAAAAGTCCTATTTTTGCAAAGCGACACCTAGACCGCCAAAATTTAAATAATTTCCAGTGGTCTGATTAAACTTTAATATTCGGGGCAGATGGAAAAACATATGTATGGCGCCCAAAAAATACTGCTTTCGATCCGAAGCATACCATTTAGACTGTTAAGCATGGTGGCGGGAATATCAGCGCCTTTCTATTATTTTTTCCATATATTTATACATAAATATATATATATATATATAAATATATATGTATACCAGTTGGTATTGGACCAGTTGACATGGTCCAAAATACATATCCTCCTTAAAAACCGCAAAAGTGCCAACTGAAAACTAAAAATGATTAAATATTAAAAAATACAAAATAAAAATGTATATATACAAATATATATATGTGTATTTATATTATGTATATATATAATATTTATATAAACTCGATAAAGAGCACTACATTTTAAAAATATCCGTATGAAAGAACAAACTAAACCAAAACGAAAAATGGCAATCCCATTTCATGTTAATAAATCAAATATTTTATCAAAGACACGAAAGAAATTTTTCAGCGTCCATGATGAAAATATACATATTGAAATCACCAAAATCGCGAAATGATAAACCTCTGTAAAAACTCTGCTAATATAAGACAATAAAACATATAATAATAGTCTCACATATTATTTTGTTAGTGTTGCCAGCTTAAAATCACAAATAATAAAGTCAATAGGGGTTGAATATGACATTTTATTCAATAGTTAGTTACTCAAAATCGGTTTTTAAATTAGTTTTAAAAAAAAACTAAAAGTAATAAAATTTACTGCGTAACTGAGTAATAAAATTAATGGGCGTTGAAGCTTAAACGCATCCCTCATTAAAACACTTTTAATAATAATAAATATAAATTAAGTTGCCGGTGCTTTTGATAGCGAGGAAACATGAATGCCTTCTCCCACAGTGTCCCACTGCTGTGGTATTGGAGGAGCTGCGTTTTCCTGAGTGCAATGTGCTCCCAACTCCCTAATAAATTGACGGTAACGATGTATAAGCGCATCATGATAGTGGTTATTTTTAATAATCCGTTCAGGGTTCGTAAAATGATTGCAACCAGTTGCGCCTTGTATAATTGATCAAGTGGAAAAGTTCTGCAACTTAAGAGATCCAGGTTATACCAAGGACTGTGCTTACCGACTAGCGACCATGCCGACAAAGTCGTCTCCAAAATTTCAGTAAGGAACGGCTAAATATTCCCAAGTATGTTGGAAAGATGTAGAATCGGTGTACAAAAAACTATTCTTAAAAAATAAATGTACAAAACAAAAAAATATATATATTATATATATGTATATATATATTAAACAGTTCAAAAATTCAGAAGTTTTTTAATTTTTCGCTTAATATCAGCAGCATCTTCCGGAGACGTTAGCTGATTAATAATCTAATTTCTGTGAGGTTCATGGATTCCTCAATGTAAAGCCCATCCTGTCGTACTTCATCGCCTCCGGAAAACAAAAAGAGTGTTGTTCTGTTAAAAATAATATAACGCTACCAAACTCTTGGAAACAACCTTCAGCCTGCCTAAGTCCGCAAGAATTGCATATACAAGTTAATCACAGAAATATTTCTACATTTTTTCCGAGAAATATTGCAACATTGTCGATGGCAACATTGCAACATTTCAATACAACGGTCAAGAGCCCGAAAGTTCAATAACATAAACACGCCAAGAACCCCCAAGTTCAATAACATAAACACACGCATCCGGTCAGCAGCCACAGCGCAGTACCAAAATGCCGATTCTGCAAACCTTGCAGTTTCAGCCGCTCCACCAGAACTAGGCCACCGCCGCGGTCTCTTCCGCGACGTCGACGTCGCTGCCCCAACCCACAGCTTAGATCAGGGAATTTTTAAATGAATAAAATCAGTCTCAAATTGAACTCCGAATAAATCAAACGTTCAAAACTTATTTTTTGGGTTTTTATTATCCTGGAAATTAACTTACATACGTTGAAAGATCCCACCTACATGTTTTTTTCAGCTCATCCTGTCGTGGTTGTTGTTCTGTTATAAGTAATATAACGGTGCCAAACAATTGAGAACAACCATCAGCCTCCAAAAAGCCTGCCTAAGCGTGAATAAGTCCGGCCAGATTTATGGCACTTTGTTTAAAATATTGCATATACTCTTAATAGCTTGAGATCGGTAAAATAAATCTTAATAATTTTTGGTTAATTATTTCTAATTATATTTTCTTTTTTCACCCTTTGCAGAGGGTATTATAATTTCAGTCAAAAGTTTGCAACGCAGTGAAGGAGACATTTCCGACCCTATAAAGTATATATATTCTTGATCAGCATCACCAGGAGAGTCGATCTAGCCATGTCCGTCTGTCCGTCCGTCCGTTTGTACGCAAACTAGTCCCTCAGTTTTAAAGCTATCTGCTTGAAACTTCCAAAAGTTGTCTTTATATTGCAGGGCGATTATATCATATAAGCCTAGTATTCAGATCGACGAAAACCGTACGCCAGTCATGAGACAGAGCGAAAAGCAAAAAGCTGGCGTTCACTTTTCGTCGGGCCTTTTTTCACGTCGGTCCACAGATCTGTCTGCGGAAATGAACTTTGGGTGAACCCTAGCGAAAAAATTAAAAAATTTAATCTTTTGGCGTGCGCTTCTCACTGAACATTATAAGAAATGGAGGGAAAAACTCAAAAACTCACAAAAGTCGATTGCAGGTGTTTACATGTGAGGACAAAATAACATTAATACTTCTGGGGTGCCTCTTGTCAGAGCAAAATGTTTTTTAGGTCCAGAATGTACGAAAAAACACAATAAAAGTGCAGCTATAAACTTTAAATTAGCAAATAATTATCAGTAAATTAAAAAAAACAACTGTTAAATTTAAATTGTATTGTTTTTTAATTTCTTTGTACACCGGCAGACTTGTCTTGCCAAGGTATTTGATAATATCTTTTAAAGGCTCTTTCCCGCAAATACGATATTTGAATTTTTACTGCTTGTCTACAAGCCTTAGCTGATTGACAGTACGACCGTAGCACTCATAATTCTGATGAACTCTCGAAATTTTGGTCACACTGGAAAGATTAAAGTTTTTACGCTAGAGTACTCGTTTGTCAATCTGAGTACTAGGCTTTAATTTCTAATTAGTGTGTATTTTTCACGAACAACAGCTCATTTTGTTCTTGGGGTCGAAATCCCCAAAGGCCTAGCTCGCAACAACAAATAATCGATAGCTATCGACCTTCACACCATGTACCAATAGTTCCTAACACTAGAATCGATAGAAATCAACGTCTCACATACTAATTTTACATGGACCATCTCTACAGGCATCAAAAGGTAAACAAACAACAAACAGGTAAATATTGGACGAGATTAACGAAAAGTTACGTATGGACTAGCCACCGCGCACTCAAACATCCTATGGCACCCACCACAAAAACCTAGGCCACTGCAAGGCCGGATAACGACCGGTTTATCTCCCCTAGGGTAAGTCCCTTAGGCAAATATTATCCGCAAATTATCCGTAGATTTATTATGATAGCAATAGATTTTTAGCAACATTAAACATGTTTCCCCTTTTAAACAATTCCTTTGCACACCAGGCAAAACTGCTACCCGGGCTTGGACCTCGGCCCCTTCAAGCCCGATTTAAAATCAGGAAATATGGCCTTAGAGAAGTGTAAACTTTGCGCTTGAAGCGGCTTAATGGACACATAATATTTCTCCTAAATACCCTGCTGGAGCTCTAAGAGGACAATAAGGGACGAGTATGTACAAATAAAAAAATAATTTCAATTCTTCTAAGCTAGACTTCTATTTGTATGCCACGCAGGGATTTTAACAAGATATCCCCTTGGCTGCTGGTCGAAAAATTCAACAGAAATTTGGGCCGAAAATAACTTGGTCCCGTTTCTAAGTCGATGTGAAAATGGCGAAAGGTGGACCGGAGGACCAAGCCTTGCCTGAGCAACTGCGGACCGCGAAAATAGGGATGCCGCGTGTTGAAGAGCCCTGTGGTGATTAGGACAAACATAGGGAAGTTTAATGGTCTTGGTAGCAGCTAGTAGATGCTACGGCTCGTGGCAGGAATCACAAAAGAATTAATAAGAAACTGTTAAGTGGTATTGATTTGTTAAAGAATTTCCGTACACGACACTCGTAGAGTAAAGGGTACATAGTATTAGCTGAAAAGTATAAGAACTGGTAGAAAAAACATTTCTGACCCGTTGGTAAACATATATATTCTTTATCAGGATCAGAAGCCGAGTTGATCTAGCCATGCCCGCCTATCTCTATCAACGTATAAACGACGAGACCTTTAACGCAATTCGTGAAATTTTGTATAGAAATGGTAAAGAAATGTTTTTGCGCGGTATATATTTATTGAATATCGGACACCCACATTTTTTAAATAAGGAATTATTTCTGAAGTTATTTAGCAACAAAGTTTCCAAAACCGAATCTTTATTGATTGCTGCTCGAATAGAAAAGTAAGTTGAGCTATATGTTACATGCATATTTAATTTTAAATTAAAAAAAAATGTTTTGGTTGTCTGATAGTCGACCAAAGCGCTCCTTCTTATTTTATTTGTGTTATTTTCATTTTAACTTTTAAACAGTAACAGATATTTTCGGTGCATGGTTAAAACTTTGTTTAGATTCAAACCAAAGAATTCGTCGATACCATAAAATGCGTTCACTCAAACAAATTTTTATCAAAAATCGCTTTAAATACCCACAGAGTTCGCACGTACATATATGTAGAAAATGTAGGGTGAATTTTCTTTAATTCCTGTTGTTTTGAATATAAAATAAGTTAGTTTAAGTTTGGTAAACAATTTTATATATTAGTTAGTTTAAATGAACAATTATTTTCCAAAAAATCACCATCTGTTTATGATTAGCAACAAAAAATTATTAAACTGGCTCCCTTATCAAGGGAGTAATCTACAGCAACTTAAAAAAAAAAGTGGTTAAATTATTTACCAAACTAAATACAGGAAAAAACTGACATTTTTATTGACCGATTACTGCAGACTTCAGTTTCTACTCTGACAATTAAGCACCTGTTCCTTGATTGAAAGATGTTTAAAAGCACATTCAGATAGAAAAGTTCCTTTCCTAAGCAAAATAATTATTGATAAAAGTCCTATTTTTGCAAAGCGACACCTAGACCGCCAAAATTTAAATAATTTCCAGTGGTCTGATTAAACTTTAATATTCGATCCGAAGCATACCATTTAGACTGTTAAGCATGGTGGCGGGAATATCAGCGCCTTTCTATTATTTTTTCCATATATTTATACATAAATATATATATATATATATATAAATATATATGTATACCAGTTGGTATTGGACCAGTTGACATGGTCCAAAATACATATCCTCCTTAAAAACCGCAAAAGTGCCAACTGAAAACTAAAAATGATTAAATATTAAAAAATACAAAATAAAAATGTATATATACAAATATATATATGTGTATTTATATTATGTATATATATAATATTTATATAAACTCGATAAAGAGCACTACATTTTAAAAATATCCGTATGAAAGAACAAACTAAACCAAAACGAAAAATGGCAATCCCATTTCATGTTAATAAATCAAATATTTTATCAAAGACATGAAAGAAATTTTTCAGCGTCCATGATGAAAATATACATATTGAAATCACCAAAATCGCGAAATGATAAACCTCTGTAAAAACTCTGCTAATATAAGACAATAAAACATATAATAATAGTCTCACATATTATTTTGTTAGTGTTGCCAGCTTAAAATCACAAATAATAAAGTCAATAGGGGTTGAATATGACATTTTATTCAATAGTTAGTTACTCAAAATCGGTTTTTAAATTAGTTTTGAAAAAACTCAAAGTAATAAAATTTACTGCGTAACTGAGTAATACAATTAATGGGCGTTGAAGCTTAAACGCATCCCTCATTAAAAACACTTTTAATAATAATAAATATAAATTAAGTTGCCGGTGCTTTTGATAGCGAGGAAACATGAATGCCTTCTCCCACAGTGTCCCACTGCTGTGGTATTGGAGGAGCTGCGTTTTCCTGAGTGCAATGTGCTCCCAACTCCCTAATAAATTGACGGTAACGATGTATAAGCGCATCATGATAGTGGTTATTTTTAAAAATCAGTTCAGGGTTCGTAAAATGATTGCAACCAGTTGAGCCTTGTATAATTGATCAAGTGAAAAAGTTCTGCAACTTAAGAGATCCAGGTTATACCAAGGACTGTGCTTACCGACTAGCGACCATGCCGACAAAGTCGTCTCCAGGATTTCAGTAAGGAACGGCTAAATATTCCCAAGTATGTTGGAAAGATGTAGAATCGGTGTACAAAAAACTATTCTTAAAAAATAAATGTACAAAACAAAAAAATATATATATTATATATATGTATATATATATTAAACAGTTCAAAAATTCAGAAGTTTTTTAATTTTTCGCTTAATATCAGCAGCATCTTCCGGAGACGTTAGCTGATTAATAATCTAATTTCTGTGAGGTTCATGGATTCCTCAATGTAAAACCCATCCTGTCGTACTTCATCGCCTCCGAAAAACAAAAAGAGTGTTGTTCTGTTAAAAATAATATAACGCTACCAAACTCTTGGAAACAACCTTCAGCCTGCCTAAGTCCGCAAGAATTGCATATACATACGTTGAAAGATCCCACCTACATGTTTTTTCAGCTCATCCTGTCGTGGTTGTTGTTCTGTTATAAGTAATATAACGGTGCCAAACAATTGAGAACAACCATCAGCCTCCAAAAAGCCTGCCTAAGCGTGAATAAGTCCGGCCAGATTTATGGCACTTTGTTTAAAATATTGCATATACTCTTAATAGCTTGAGATCGGTAAAATAAATCTTAATAATTTTTGGTTAATTATTTCTAATTATATTTTCTTTTTTCACCCTTTGCAGAGGGTATTATAATTTCAGTCAAAAGTTTGCAACGCAGTGAAGGAGACATTTCCGACCCTATAAAGTATATATATTCTTGATCAGCATCACCAGGAGAGTCGATCTAGCCATGTCCGTCTGTCCGTCCGTCCGTTTGTACGCAAACTAGTCCCTCAGTTTTAAAGCTATCTGCTTGAAACTTCCAAAAGTTGTCTTTATATTGCAGGGCGATTATATCATATAAGCCTAGTATTCAGATCGACGAAAACCGTACGCCAGTCATGAGACAGAGCGAAAAGCAAAAAGCTGGCGTTCACTTTTCGTCGGGCCTTTTTTCACGTCGGTCCACAGATCTGTCTGCGGAAATGAACTTTGGGTGAACCCTAGCGAAAAAATTAAAAAATTTAATCTTTTGGCGTGCGCTTCTCACTGAACATTATAAGAAATGGAGGGAAAAACTCAAAAACTCACAAAAGTCGATTGCAGGTGTTTACATGTGAGGACAAAATAACATTAATACTTCTGGGGTGCCTCTTGTCAGAGCAAAATGTTTTTTAGGTCCAGAATGTACGAAAAAACACAATAAAAGTGCAGCTATAAACTTTAAATTAGCAAATAATTATCAGTAAATTAAAAAAAACAACTGTTAAATTTAAATTGTATTGTTTTTTAATTTCTTTGTACACCGGCAGACTTGTCTTGCCAAGGTATTTGATAATATCTTTTAAAGGCTCTTTCCCGCAAATACGATATTTGAATTTTTACTGCTTGTCTACAAGCCTTAGCTGATTGACAGTACGACCGTAGCACTCATAATTCTGATGAACTCTCGAAATTTTGGTCACACTGGAAAGATTAAAGTTTTTACGCTAGAGTACTCGTTTGTCAATCTGAGTACTAGGCTTTAATTTCTAATTAGTGTGTATTTTTCACGAACAACAGCTCATTTTGTTCTTGGGGTCGAAATCCCCAAAGGCCTAGCTCGCAACAACAAATAATCGATAGCTATCGACCTTCACACCATGTACCAATAGTTCCTAACACTAGAATCGATAGAAATCAACGTCTCACATACTAATTTTACATGGACCATCTCTACAGGCATCAAAAGGTAAACAAACAACAAACAGGTAAATATTGGACGAGATTAACGAAAAGTTACGTATGGACTAGCCACCGCGCACTCAAACATCCTATGGCACCCACCACAAAAACCTAGGCCACTGCAAGGCCGGATAACGACCGGTTTATCTCCCCTAGGGTAAGTCCCTTAGGCAAATATTATCCGCAAATTATCCGTAGATTTATTATGATAGCAATAGATTTTTAGCAACATTAAACATGTTTCCCCTTTTAAACAATTCCTTTGCACACCAGGCAAAACTGCTACCCGGGCTTGGACCTCGGCCCCTTCAAGCCCGATTTAAAATCAGGAAATATGGCCTTAGAGAAGTGTAAACTTTGCGCTTGAAGCGGCTTAATGGACACATAATATTTCTCCTAAATACCCTGCTGGAGCTCTAAGAGGACAATAAGGGACGAGTATGTACAAATAAAAAAATAATTTCAATTCTTCTAAGCTAGACTTCTATTTGTATGCCACGCAGGGATTTTAACAAGATATCCCCTTGGCTGCTGGTCGAAAAATTCAACAGAAATTTGGGCCGAAAATAACTTGGTCCCGTTTCTAAGTCGATGTGAAAATGGCGAAAGGTGGACCGGAGGACCAAGCCTTGCCTGAGCAACTGCGGACCGCGAAAATAGGGATGCCGCGTGTTGAAGAGCCCTGTGGTGATTAGGACAAACATAGGGAAGTTTAATGGTCTTGGTAGCAGCTAGTAGATGCTACGGCTCGTGGCAGGAATCACAAAAGAATTAATAAGAAACTGTTAAGTGGTATTGATTTGTTAAAGAATTTCCGTACACGACACTCGTAGAGTAAAGGGTACATAGTATTAGCTGAAAAGTATAAGAACTGGTAGAAAAAACATTTCTGACCCGTTGGTAAACATATATATTCTTTATCAGGATCAGAAGCCGAGTTGATCTAGCCATGCCCGCCTATCTCTATCAACGTATAAACGACGAGACCTTTAACGCAATTCGTGAAATTTTGTATAGAAATGGTAAAGAAATGTTTTTGCGCGGTATATATTTATTGAATATCGGACACCCACATTTTTTAAATAAGGAATTATTTCTGAAGTTATTTAGCAACAAAGTTTCCAAAACCGAATCTTTATTGATTGCTGCTCGAATAGAAAAGTAAGTTGAGCTATATGTTACATGCATATTTAATTTTAAATTAAAAAAAAATGTTTTGGTTGTCTGATAGTCGACCAAAGCGCTCCTTCTTATTTTATTTGTGTTATTTTCATTTTAACTTTTAAACAGTAACAGATATTTTCGGTGCATGGTTAAAACTTTGTTTAGATTCAAACCAAAGAATTCGTCGATACCATAAAATGCGTTCACTCAAACAAATTTTTATCAAAAATCGCTTTAAATACCCACAGAGTTCGCACGTACATATATGTAGAAAATGTAGGGTGAATTTTCTTTAATTCCTGTTGTTTTGAATATAAAATAAGTTAGTTTAAGTTTGGTAAACAATTTTATATATTAGTTAGTTTAAATGAACAATTATTTTCCAAAAAATCACCATCTGTTTATGATTAGCAACAAAAAATTATTAAACTGGCTCCCTTATCAAGGGAGTAATCTACAGCAACTTAAAAAAAAAGTGGTTAAATTATTTACCAAACTAAATACAGGAAAAAACTGACATTTTTATTGACCGATTACTGCAGACTTCAGTTTCTACTCTGACAATTAAGCACCTGTTCCTTGATTGAAAGATGTTTAAAAGCACATTCAGATAGAAAAGTTCCTTTCCTAAGCAAAATAATTATTGATAAAAGTCCTATTTTTGCAAAGCGACACCTAGACCGCCAAAATTTAAATAATTTCCAGTGGTCTGATTAAACTTTAATATTCGATCCGAAGCATACCATTTAGACTGTTAAGCATGGTGGCGGGAATATCAGCGCCTTTCTATTATTTTTTCCATATATTTATACATAAATATATATATATATATATATAAATATATATGTATACCAGTTGGTATTGGACCAGTTGACATGGTCCAAAATACATATCCTCCTTAAAAACCGCAAAAGTGCCAACTGAAAACTAAAAATGATTAAATATTAAAAAATACAAAATAAAAATGTATATATACAAATATATATATGTGTATTTATATTATGTATATATATAATATTTATATAAACTCGATAAAGAGCACTACATTTTAAAAATATCCGTATGAAAGAACAAACTAAACCAAAACGAAAAATGGCAATCCCATTTCATGTTAATAAATCAAATATTTTATCAAGGACACGAAAGAAATTTTTCAGCGTCCATGATGAAAATATACATATTGAAATCACCAAAATCGCGAAATGATAAACCTCTGTAAAAACTCTGCTAATATAAGACAATAAAACATATAATAATAGTCTCACATATTATTTTGTTAGTGTTGCCAGCTTAAAATCACAAATAATAAAGTCAATAGGGGTTGAATATGACATTTTATTCAATAGTTAGTTACTCAAAATCGGTTTTTAAATTAGTTTTGAAAAAACTCAAAGTAATAAAATTTACTGCGTAACTGAGTAATACAATTAATGGGCGTTGAAGCTTAAACGCATCCCTCATTAAAAACACTTTTAATAATAATAAATATAAATTAAGTTGCCGGTGCTTTTGATAGCGAGGAAACATGAATGCCTTCTCCCACAGTGTCCCACTGCTGTGGT